TTCCTTTTTCAGCTTTTGAGACACAGTCTCACTCTGTCGCCCACGTTGCCCTCTAACCCACTCTGGTCCTCCTGCCTCAGCCTCCTAGATGCCGTGACTATAGGCGTGCACCACCGTGCCTGGCTCAAAATCAGTTACTTTAAGTTTGATGCAATTTCAGCCAACATTACTTTGCTGTTGAAGCTGAAATAATTGAGAAAGCATCCTGCAGTATAAGAAATTTTGTAAGGACTTCACTGTGTGGTGAATGTCTTATTTTGGAAGAATGTTTTATGGGGAGGGACAAAAGTGAGGTTTACATCTTCAAAGTGTCCTTCGGGAACTTTGAGTTCTGAAGGGTACCTGCAGTGACGATGCATGTGAAATGGTGTGGCAGTCGTCTTGGCAGTGCCAGGGACCCTATAATATGTCTGTGATCCAGTCTTTTATTTTGAGCTCTTTGCTTATAGGGAAGAGGTCCAGGTCAAAGGTAACATGATGACAAATTTCTTGGATAAGAGCACTGAATAAAATGCATATATCAGGGATCAATCCTGAAGGCAAAATACCCGAACAGCAGGAGGTGGAGAGGTAGCCCAAACCTGCCCTACAGTCATGCCGAGTTGGGCATTGGCCCACTGGTCCACTGTTTCTTCTGTGCTTTATGCTTCCTTGCTGACACCTGATGCCCAAAGGAAAAGGCAGAGGAAGCAGGGTAAGCGAGGCCCCCGGGGCCTGATCTCTGCCGGGGAAGGGCAGAGTGCAGAGGGCAGCTGGGAGGATGGCAGAGCTGCATGGGCTCTCTGCGGGTACAGGAGCCACTCACCTTTGACAAACACTTCAGGGAGCTGATACTGCAGTGCCTGATACTCTGCTGGGTGTTGAAAGTAGAAGTGGAGGATGCAGCCTGACACACAAAAGAGGGAAAGCTCTCCCTGGCTGCGACTCATGTGGCTCCTGAGGTTTTGGGGGTGAAGGACCGTGAGAGGATAGGAACACAAGAGACAAAAGCTGGGCTCAGGTGGGCCTTCTCTCCGATGAGAATGGGGAAACTGCTCAACCGCTGTAGCAATTACACACTCACGAGCATGATGTCAATTTTACGTTGCTGCCTGGCTGGCCCGGTCCTCTTGCCTTCTTGGAACTGGAGCAGCTTGTCTATGTACCTTTTTTGAGCTCTTTTTGTTTTTAAGGCTGACCTTGCTTTGGCCCCACAGCTCTGATCAATCTCCAGCTTCAAGGGCTCCCTACTCTCCCTGTTTTCCAGGAGCATGTGGTCTAGCAGTGGAACAAGCTTGTGATCTGAGTGCTGAGGGGTGGGAAGAATAATCAGGCTTCCTGTTTAAAGTGGAGCCATTTCTAGTTGGCAAGACAGAGCAGGCAGCTGCCCAAGGAAAGATGTGGGCTGAGGGCAGCGTGTGAAAAGCTCCAGAATCAAGGAAAACAGCGCACTAAGCCATTATTAGTGTTATTTTCATTCCGAAAATCAAAAGGAACACAGGCAGACTCCTGAGGTGGACTCGGACTGGGAAGCGAGCAAGGGTTCTGGGTCCGGAAACCCAGCCAAGCAGCCCCTGGGGCAGCAGGGACGGTGGAAGGTGGGCAGAGTGTGTGCCTGGCAGACTGTGTCCCGGGCGAGGATGCGGCTCAGAGGCAGAGCTGCCGCTGCCTTCCTCACCCAGAGCTGTGTGAACCCATGGCGCTTTGGGCAGGCTTTTGGTTTTAGAGAGTTAGGTGACCCCTCTTTGGTGGACAAACGCCTCCTGCAGCTGTCCAATGATGTGAGTGAAGGACCAAGCCTGTAAGAGATTCTTGAGATGTCTTTCCTTAACCTCACGTGAAGTTAGAGACAGGATCATATTTGTATCTCGTGAGTATTTCAAGCCAGTCCAGTTTTATAGATCCCTGTTAGAGCACTCCAGGATTGTGATTTACTTGCTGTTGTGTGATAGTCACAGTGCTGAAATTTTAATAGCTCAAAAGCGTTGTCTGTTAGGCACTGTTGTTTCCTTTCCAAAATAATAATATTCTCTCCATTTTGTGTGAGACAGCCCCCGTGACTCCCCTTGAATGTAAAACAGTTACTGCAACTTTGATTATTTGGAGACTTCCTTTCTTATACTGCTATGTAGGGTATTTTTTTCTTTAACTGGCCCTAAGCATTGTAAATAAGGCTAGTTGAGGTGTTGGTATATAATCTCTAAAGCCAACAGACAGTCCTGTTTGCTCCATAGTGTTTTCCATACAGGATATGAGCGCAGCAGGATATTAGAGCCAGTCAACTCCAAAAATGTCAACTGAGTAGGAGCCTCAAGGTAAAGAAGCTATGACTCCCCAGGGCACAAGAGTTGCATACCAAAAACTAAAGCCACAGCTTCCCAAAACAATTTAATTGCTACCTTAATTAGATTATGTAAATTGATCCTTTGGTATATCTTTATCTCTGTAATTTGTAGAGGTGTCTTTCTTTTTACCTGGCCAGCCAGCTTGAGTTACCCACATAATTTCTGCCAACCTCACTGTCACTCACTCCTGAGCCAACCCCTTCACAAGATAATAAATTCTGGGAGAGGCTAGGATCAGGGCCTTTGTCCGCATGTCCTCACAAAGATTAGATTTAGGACCCCTTGGCTGCCCTTAACTGGGAATATGTCTTGGTGTTTTTACTCTCATGTGGGTTGCATTGGTGGTGGTGGTAGATTAAAATTAACTTGATGGGATTCCAATGATGTCTCAATGGGATTACAAATACAACTTTTTGGAATGTGAGGAAAACTGAAAAAAGGGTTACAATACTTGGGTGACTGCACACAGTATTTGGGGTTACAATATTTTTTATTTCATCTTTAGCTGGTTGTTTCAGAAATCTTAGTTGCAGGTGACAGAAACCCAGCATGAATACGCTTGAGCCAGAAAATGTGCTTCATGGAATTTGCTATATGGTTCTGTTGGTACTTGTCTTTGTTATTTTCTTTGTACTGGGATACAATACTCAACAACCACAGCTCCAAGGAGGAAAGGTTTCTTTTGGCCCATGGTTTGTAGAGGTTTCAGTCCATCATGAAATGGCTTCAAGGCAGGAGGACACAGCAGAGGGGCCTGGTTCAAGAGAAACAGCTCGCAGCATCAGGAAGCTGAGACGAATCAAGCAGGGAAGAGGGTGTGTCCCCTGACCTGCTTCCTCCAACCAGGCTTTACCTCCCAAAATCATTTAGCTCTAAACTCATCAATGGCCAAATCCACCAATGAGTGTCACGTGGAGGGTCTCCATTATCCAGACACCCCTCAAAAGCCCATCTATGAGTCCATGAGTCTGTAGGGGGACATCTAGACATAAACCATAACAGTGCACCACATACCCTGAGAACAGAAATAGAGCTACGCCTTTGGAATAGTGTCCCAGTCATCGGTAGCTATGCCAGACTTTTGCTAGCCTACAATACTGGCTTCTACTATACTGATGAACTCTGGGCTGGAGGAACAGGAGATATTTAGCTGAGAGACAGTTTCTAGAAGGTGTGCTGTAAGACAGACAAAAAATGTTTGCTGCAGTTAATAAACACGGCTTTGGAATTGATAATAATCTATATCTCTCACAACATGGTTCAAAGAAGCTGATAATATTTCATATTTTATAAGACTATCTGGATGACATTATCTTCTTCAGAACTCTCAAGTGCTGAGTGCATAAAGCAGCAAGTGCATCTGCTCCCATTTTATAGATGAGCAAACCGACATGCGGAGAGGTTTTGGAGCTTGCTTGAGGACAAACAGCTGGTAACTTGCAGAGATGGAACGCAAGCTGTTCCCACCACATCCTCTTTCTAAAACCTTCAGTGCTTAAAATAAACCAACCCTGTGGTTCAGGTCTTTTTCATTTATGTTAAGGACACATTCTGAATTAATTTGAAGTAAAAGTACCCTGCAGGCACGCTGAAGTTTCAGAGTTGGACAGCTGATCATCGGATGGGGCTGCGCTGGTTCCAAGTTGCTTTGGGTTGGGGGAAAGACCATTCTCTATGCTCCTCATTTCTTTTGATTTCCTATTGGCGTCTCCATTTCCCCCCATACTTCTCAACATTCAAGCCAGATGCCAATTGTCTGTGTGAAAACACACAGTGATTCTAATGCAGCAAGATGCCAGTTCTATGTGTAACATTTGCCCATATGCGACTGTTTCAGTAAACTCCTGGGGACTTACGTTCCAGTGTCACTGCAGAACAACAGGAAGACTGTAAATTCCACCACTTCTCTCGAAGATGCACATGTGCCTCGTTATTTATGAATACCCGATAGATGCAACACATCCTAAACTTGACTTTTTGGTACAATAGAGGTGTTGTGTGTGTTCCCTCTGCAGCTCACAAAAGTACAAATCAATGGACTTCTCACTATCATTAATGATCACAGCCGTTGGTTAGGGTAGAGAGGCTTGCCAACACAAAAATCCCCTCAAGATGAATCTTGAAAGTAAGGAAGAAAGGAATCTGTCTGTGATAGCTCAGAGATATATTTTTTTAAACAAGCAATAAAAAGGCTGAGTCACATAACTGGCTTAAGGAAATTCCTAAGAAGTTGGAGAAGGTAGGATTCGGTTCTGGAAGCAGAATCACAATCCTTCAAGTGACACACCATAGAAGTCAGAATTCTGAGCTGTATCTGTCTCCATCCTGTTCTTTTCCCCATCCTCCTGAGATGCCTAGTCACTGAGGAACAAATGCACAAGGCAAAAGCTCCTCAGGAGGGTTTGCTGCACGGCAAAGCCTTGGATTTGATCTGATGGAAGACAAGAAGGTCCTCAAACCTCAAGGTCTCATGACTTAGCCCAGGACTCTTCATTGGTATGATAGCTCCGGCCAGGCCCATGAGGAAGCAGGTGGTGAGCAGTTCTCGGCATAGTGGGGTGCTGGGAGAGAGGCTGAGACTCTTAGTTTGCCTCAGAGCTGCCGAGGTTTGGTAGGAAGAGAGCGCTTGCCTGACCTGCATGCTCTTTCAGCGCGAACACTGGCTGCCTTACTGGTGTAGCCGCTCTGCCTTTTGGCCAAGACCATGTGTAGTATCTGTTCTTACTAGTTTGGCATCGGATATGTTTCCTATTCAAGGACAACGTGTTAGATGGACGTTTGGAGCAGGGAGATGGGACAGGAGCTCGCCCTGTCTGCTTCACGCGTAGACGTGGCATTGCACTGCCCCCAGGAGTGTCCACCCCTTGGAGGACACGGGAAAGTCCTACTGGTGATAATAACAGCGAGCCTTTATCAGCTTATTACTTGTTTATTTTTTCATTTTTTAAAATTTTATTTTAAAGAGCATAACACAAGAAAATAAAACAATAAAACTAATCAAGGTAAACTAGTATAAGTGATACAGGACTTTAAAATCTTGTGAAATCAGCAATAGTTACCATAATGCCTCTTATTGTCTTCAAAATAGCTGCAGATACCTTTGGACATAGTAAAAATCGAACAGAACAGAATAGAAACAATAAAAACAAAACAATGAACGCAATAAAGGACTTCAAAACAAGTCAATAGTAAATCCAAAATGACTACCATAATATGTCTATCTATCTTTTAAATAGCTGCTCATGCCATCAGATTTAATGTAATCAAAACAAAAGAGAAGAGATTCCAACCCAAGAAAACAATGAAAATGACATAGTTTCCAGGTGGGGACCACCTCCTGGTGATACCTCTCTACCTAGTACCTCTCTCTCTGCAGTTCGCAAATGGCACTGACTTGTGGGGCAGGTTATTAACTTGTGCTGTACACTTTTTTTAGCATTTGACTTTTAGAAAAACATAATGAGGAAGATTCTTTGAGGTTTTTTTCTCCTGTATTATAGCTGAGGGAATGAATATTTAGAGAAAGAAAATAACTTGACAAAGTTATGTATTAGTTGAGTCATGTGATTTTTAATCTTATGGAGAAAGACATTTCTTTAACTTCTTAACTTTTTATCGGTACCAGGGATCAAACTCACAACCGCCTGCTTGCTTATGCCACTGAGCTAAATCCCCAGCCCCTGAGAAAGACATTTCATTCTACTAGAGTCCAGGTGAGTTAATAGTTTCTTAAAGGTGTTATATTTACTGTTTCCGATGTGTTAAGCAAGCAGCTGGAACTGTGTGACTTGACTCCCACTCCCTGGGACCTAGGGGCCTCTATATGGTGCAGTTTAACAAAAGCTATCCTAACGATTTTTTTTTTCTTTTTGATACTGGCAATTGACATCACACTTGTCAGGCGGGTGCTGAACTGCTGAGCTCTATCCCTGGCAACAAATTCTTATTTGTCATATAATATTGTTTAAGTTTGTTTGTCCTTTTCATCCAGATTGTAAACTTCTTTACATTGGGGGTTAAATAATTCTTAGAGTGTACACTCTAGGGCATATTGGGAACAGCAGTGCTCATGTGAGTTCCAATTAAAGTTGTGTTGGTTACCCATCGCTGTGTGCAAGCACAGTAGCTTCACATCATGCTTGTATTATAATTTCTCTAGGTCGGGAGCTGGACTTTACTGCTGGCTCCGGTGGTGCACTCAAAGCATTTGCTGGGCTCAATTCTGATCTGAGCCTTGAGGGTCCTCAGAAGTGCCTGTAAGATCAGGGTTTGGCAAAAGTCCTTTCCATATGGTTGCAGGACAGAAGACTTCAGCTTCTTGCTACCTGTCAGACTGAGACCACTAGCAGAACATAGAGGCTGCCTCCATCCTGGTTTCATTTTATGTGGCTCTCTTTGCGCAGTGGTGGTCTCTTTCCTCCAAGCCAGCAACTGAGAGAAACCTCTGGTGACCTAGCTAGTAAAAGTCTCGTGATGTAATCCTGGGAATGACACCCCCTTCCTTTTGCTATAGCTTACTGACCACACACACTATGTCCACTCTGAAAGGGATGGGGTTATTCAAGGATGTGTGTGACAAGAACCCCATTTCATAGGAAGGTCAACCTTAAAATCTTCCTCACCCCTAAATTGAAAGAATCAGGAAATATAAAAATATTAAAGATTTAAATTCATCTAGGAAATCACCAATAGTATTTAAAATAAAACCAAAGATCTTCGTGTTCCAGTTATTAAATTATCAACATCAGTTCTGATGATGATGGTTAACAGCAGTCTCTGGCTGGTGGAGCTGGAGCTGGAGATGGAGATGGAGGGTGTGTGTGCATCAAGGGAGGTAAGTTTTCTTTTTACTGTCTTTTTTTGTAATTTCTATTTTAAAGAGAATAAAACCAAGCAAAGTAAAACAGAATAAAGCCAATCAAAACAAAACAGTGTGATACAAGATTTCAAAACAGGATAATAGAAATCAACAATGGCCTCCATAATGCCTCTTGTTGTCTTCAAAATAGCTGCCCATACCATCGGACATAGGAAAATAAAGAAGACAACAGACTCACAAGAAGGGGCTGCTGTCTGGCTAGGGAGGTTACTTTTCTATGAATGGTTACTGTCCAAGGTGATGTGGTTAACTCAAGCTCTACTCTTACTGGCAGTGAGACACATGGTCAACCAGCCAGAGTTCTTTCAGCCTCTTAGAGAAGTTGGCAAAGTGGCTTGTGGGATGACTGCTTGGAAGAACAGGTGTGGAGCCCACTGAGGGAGGAACCTGCTAGGAGGAAGCTGAGGTCGAGTGGTCAGTGTAAAGAAGGGGCCAGCGTGCAGGTGGGGCTGTTCCTCTGTGGCCATCCTCCCCGACACGCCTAGTGAGGGCTTTGTCTGTGCACAGACCGATGGCTCCTCTTGGTCTCCCTGAAGAAGCCCTACCTGAAGGAACACACTGAGAATCCTTTCCTGAAATCCAGGCTCGGATTCCATGTGGATCAAGGTTATGAGAGCGATATCTGGGTGCATTTTCTCCTCTCAACATACGGCATAGTTATTTAATAATTGTTAACAGAATCTTTTTCCTGTTTCCTTTCTTCCCTCATTGTTTAAACACACTAGCTTTTGTTAAAACCCTCAGATTTCTATATGTTTTTTTTTTGTTGTTGAAACTCAATGATAAGATCATGTCAGTTGAACAAATTGGATCGGATATGCTTTTCTGCATATTGCTTGTTTATTATACAACTTCCTATGCCCTTAAATCACACATATTTTATGGGATCTTTCTCCTGTGACTCATTTTTGGAGCTGGTCCGAGAAGGAGTTATTCTCCAGACATGGCACCATTGACCCTCATTTTGAGCTACATTTTTTATTTATTTTTAAAAAGATATTTCATTCACAGAATCCCCACTGAGCTTTTTATTGTGGAAAATTAGGGCCCGTAAATCATCTCCCTCAGAAAACTATAAATTTTATACAATTGAAACATTCCATGGGCTGAGCTTGGCACTTTGATGAAATCGCTCCTTTATTTCTTGTAATTTATGAGCATTCCCCACTCTCCTCCCTCCTGTTCATCATCACCTTGCCCTCCCAGCAGAAGTGGGGGTGGTATCCTGCCTTTAAATTGCTCAATGGGGTTTACTGAGTATAATTTGTGAGTGAATTTATATGAACTCACAATATTACAATGTATCCAAAATTATGAACAATAAAACTTCATTTTTTCCTCGCGGGCAGAAGGGAAATTTGTTGACTGTGGTGGAGGTAGCTCTATCTGGTGCCATGGGAGAGAACACAGTCATTGGAAGCCAAATGGCATGGGTTAGTGCCACCTCATTTTCTGTAGGAAAGGACCATTTCTTAACTCTAGACTCAGAGCATGAATTGTCTTTATGATTCTTTTCAGGGCTTGCGTCTTCTGATTCAATGAACTGAAGATGGCTCTTGGCTTGTTATTTCTTTTAAAGGATAATTATGAAAACCAGTGTGACATAGTTCAAGGGTCCAGTTTTGGATGTGAGTGCTCAATCTTTGTTTTTCAAGGGAAAAGAGAGAACAGAGTAGCAGTCAAGAGTGAAGGGTCCCTGATTCTTGTCTGTTAGGTTTGTCTGGGTTGTGATATTCTTGAAACTAGTGACTGTATCCTATGTAACTTGGAAGTTCTGGCTCCTAGCATAGAATCCAACACCTGAGTTTCTGTTCCAAGCCTCTAGTGAGCACAGAGAATGTGAAAGTGCACGAGCCCATTGATTTAAGTCCTGGGAGCAGAGCCAGACACACAGGAGGTATGAACATGTGAGTATGGAATCCTCAGCAAACAGGCTCCTTGCTCTTGCTGGGCTCCTGGAGTTTTCCTTGTGTCTATGCCCAGCTCATGGGCCATCTTTATTTTTAATATTGCAGTGTTTTTCCTGACTAGAACTCTTGATGGATCTAAGACATTGGTAGCATTTTGACATCACCCTACACTCACAGTCTTGGGAAGAGTTTTGCTACTAGAGAAAGAAGTTAGAAATTGAAGATGGAAGTGGTATGGCCAAGTGACCGAGCTTGAGGTCTGAAGGTTAAATGTGGAGAATGAAGGTTAAATGTGGATTTTAAGGTACTGTGGCCTCAGACTCTGACCCCTGCTAGGACTCTCCTGTAGAAGGGGAACAACACCGTGCTTGTTTCTTAGTGTGGAAGTCAGAATCCCAAGTGACCTTCCATGGTGGGGTGCTCACACTGGTGCTGGCAGCCAGTGAGTCTTCAATTAATGCGAGCTGTGACCTGAGAGGTTAATTATCATTAATAATGTTGGTTGATGTATCAGTAATGGCTACCATTTTTATTTTTGTGTTAAAATTTGGATTCTGTTTCAGCAATGTGACTACTGTTCTATATAAAATTCATATACTTTTTTGGGTAGTTGAATCTAGGGTCTTACTAGAAAACCATCTACTACTGGGCAATTCTGCAAACTTTTTGTTTATTAATTTATTTTTATTTTGATGATGTGTTGTGCTAAGTTGCCAGGCTGGTCTCAAACTTACACTTCAGTCTCCCAGGTAGCTGTGGTTCCAGGGTATGTGCCACTGCCCCTGGCTATTTGTTATAGTTCTGACTTGATCCTTTAACTTTTCAAAGTTCATTTTGAGATCCATATGTTGAAAGAGTATCCCTGATGCTTATTAAAAGAATCTCACCATCTTGAATAGAGAACATTGTCTGGATTTCTACTTGTGTCTAAGTGCAGTTTTGGAGATTCTAGTCTTTTAGGAAAGAATGTGAATATAGTGCTGTCTAAAACATGTCTGGAATCTGTTTTTTTTTGCCTTGAGATGGAAAATTTCCCTGCAGAGAGTTGTCAGTGGTGATGTTGTCTACATGCAATTA